AGAGTTATATAGAATATATATATATATATATATATATATACTTGCTTGGCTACCTCGTGGTGGTTGCAAAGTTGGTCATTTTTACCAAGCCTGTATACGTAGAGTTAGTATTTCAATGTATCAATTTATGAATGAAAATTGCAAATTTAAGAGATTTAATGAAGAAAACGTAGACTAGGAATGTTTAAAGAAAAGATTCAATTCTCATTTTAATATATTTTTCTATATAATATAGAAGTATGAATGAAACCTATCACTTAATCGTACTGTAGCTAAGAATTTATTAGCATGAAACAGATTTAGTTGAATTAACCATTTTGTTGTTGACTTTAGCTTGTTTCGAATGTGTTGTCAACTTGTGTTCTTAAGTTTATGGCAAAGAAACTACTAAATGTGTAAAACAAATTAATGGAATAAGTCCTGGAAGAACAAATTTGGCTAATAAACTAAGTCCTATGCTCTTTGCCAGTTACCCTAGGAACACATTTAAATAAAGGTAAATTGATGATGTAATGGAACCAAGTTTATTAAACCACTAAAATCAATGTTTTAAATGGTGATGCTGAAGCAAGCTAATCTCAGCTTGACCATGTTGAAAAGTAAATGTCCAACAAAGCTAAGGCATTGTACAATTTAAACAAATATATTGCTAAAGAAAAATTTCTGAAAATTGAATTCAATAGATTAGTTTGAGGAATTTGTAGTCATAAAGTCTTTAAAATCTGGATATTTACATAACTTGAAATAGATTGGTTCATAATCAGATTTTTTGAAATGACACTAGGATGCTATCTAGTTTAGGCATGAAAAGTGAACTTTAGAATGTATGTTATTTGCATTAATAGAAAGCTCTGTCAGTGCTCATTAGTGTGTATGTTTGTGAGGTAGAGATATTTAATGACTAAAAAATTAATCATTGAACTTCAGCAAGTAAACTTTCACTTTAACTGTATTCTCCACTTCTGAAAGGCTTCAACTTTGTAACTCATGGGTAAGTATTTTTTCCTAGTCTAGTTCCGTTACAACTATATATAAGGAAGTTTGTGTAAGGAATGAGAAAATTTAATTTTCATAACATTTTCATTTAATTTTCTTTGTCCTTTTTTTTTTTTTACCGTGTGTAGTATGAAAAGGATAATTTAAAATTTAAGAATTATTACAAAGTATCCAATGTTCCAAAAACTTTTTTAGTAGAAGGAATATATCAAGAAATAGAAATCATATGTAGGTAGTATAAATTTGATCTTCAGGTAGGAAAAAATCCAAATATTGATGTAAGTAGGTAGAATTTAATAAAAATTGTGATGTTACCTCTGCAGCTTTTTCGTTGCATCATTTTATTTTTATAGATTGAAATGACACAAAATCTTTGTACTGACTTACTTTTTTGGTTTTGTCAATTACAGAGATGCATTAAAGATTATATAAGTTTTATTATAAATATAATGCAGGTTCACTCGTTTGTAACTGTGTACATTTTTGTGAAAAATAATCTAAATTCCAAGAACAACTTTTCACAACATTCCAATTCACACATGTGAAGTAGTACTTTATATTCTGTCTGGGAATGTCTATTTAATAAAATCACATGTCAGTATTTTGATATGGTCAAATTGTTTCATTTCAATTAAATTAAATGAAACTTGGAAAAGAAAGGATCTCTCCTTCCAGTACACCAATTGGAAACAATTTCTCCTGTAATTTTAAAAAGGCATAACACTGCCATTGATTTAATGTGGTCTTTTATTTCAGAAAAAATATTTTTGAAGTATGCATCCATATGATATTTTTCATGAATAGTTTATTTATTGATATTAGACATGTAATAAAATTTTTTTCTGGAAAATAGTTGATACGTACAAGTATACAAGGGTTTAATTGTAATAGTGATATAAAAAGTATATAACCCAATGTTTTCATCCTTTTAGTCTACTTGTACAGTTACAGTACTACCTTTCAATGTTTGGTTTATATAATTTTTATTGAAGTCGAGACTTTACTAATTAAACCTTGAATACAGTGTACAGTTACATGTTGTATTACTTAAAGAAGCAGTTGCTGTTAAATCCATTTAGGCAAGAAAGTGGATGAAAATTGCACTATTGTAGTATTTGTTTATACCAAACTACACAAAATTTGATGTAATTTTGTGTGTTTCACTAGTAAAGAGTGAATTTTGAAAGACAGAGAACCTTTGGCTTGAAATTCAGTATCTTGAACTTTTACGATAAGAAGTAGGAACAGTATAGCCCAAGTGTAAGGAACTTAGTATGATCAGGAAGTTTTATTAATTTATAAGTATGCTTCAATGTTTATTTTGGTGATCCATTTAAAGTTTCATCTGTTAATGGTGACGATCTACATAGAATTCTGTTTGTTCGTGATGTTGACCCATCTAAAGTTGCATATTCTTAGTTACGATATACCAACAATAACATATACCCAGTGCTAATAATCACCCTGAAGTTGTCTGCTAAGTGATAATCCATTTAAAGTTGCACCTACTCAGTGATATCCACCTGATTTTGCATTTACTCATGATGATAAGCCATCTGAAGTTGCATTTCCTCATGATGAAAGCCCACCTGACTTTGCATTACTCATGGTGTTGATCCACCTGATATTGCATCTTTTTATGGTGAATATCCACCTAAATGTATATCTGTTCATGGTGAAGATCCACCTGAGCTTGTATTTACTTATGGTGAAGATCCACTTGAAATTGCACCTATTCAAGGTGAAGATCCACTTGAAATTGCACCTATTCAAGGTGAAGATCTACTTGAAACTGCACCTATTCAAGGTGAAGATCCACTTGAAACTGCACCTATTCAAGGTGAAGATCCACTTGAAACTGCACCTATTCAAGGTGAAGATCCACTTGAAACTGCACCTATTCAAGGTGAAGATCCACTTGAAACTGCACCTATTCAAGGTGAAGATCCACTTGAAACTGCACCTATTTAAGGTGAAGATCCACTTGAAACTGCACCTATTCAAGGTGAAGAGTCCACTGAAGTTTTATCTGTTAATGGTTATAATCCACCTTGAAGCTATATTTATTCAAGGTTAAGATTCACCAAAGTTCCTGTTATCATGAATTTGATCTATCAAAATTATCACATTACTAAATAAAAAATTCACCTAGTATGAACATATTTCATCACATTGATTATTCACCTTTGGTATCATGTATGCTATCCATGACTTAGATCTTAGTGAACTTTGACAAACACCAGCAATGGTGTATCATTAAGTTAATATTTTGATAGATGTTGTTCTCAAGTACTATTGGTAGAAAAATTGTACATGGATATTACATGTAAGTTATAGTGTGTAGTGGTTACCGTCTGTTGGATTCTTAGAAATTCAGTGGAAATGTTTCACTTTGTGTGTAGTGGAGTACTATGTGGTTATGTCCACTGTTACTTTATGCCATGGTCTACTCTTAGACCCGTTTGCAAGGCACAATATAAAACACTGAAAATGTTTCTGAAAAAGGTAAGACTGTTTTGTTTTGTGTAAATTTGTTTTTTTCCATGTTTTTTGTGATGATTCTATTTTGAGTGATGTTTGAATCTGGCTTCATTAAATAATGAGCACTGATCAGTGCAGGAAATCACTGACCAACAATCAACACGTGATCACTCATATCATCACAACACATTTTTGTGTTCTTGTCTATGCATCAGACACTTTCTCTTTTCAGAGATTCCAAACTCAAGTGAATGGCAAGAACCAAAATTTAAGCATGGACCAACAAGCAAAGAGCAAGGTTAAGGTGGCCAACAAAATGAGGTACCTTGAATTGGTGCTTTTAGCACCTGGTAGACTTGACTCTACTATTATATTTCTTTCTTGAATCCAACTGTTTTTCCCCTCTGCATCTCATTTTTGAGATAGGGTAAATTACTAATCTTGCTCCTTAGTGGCTGTTTTTTTTTTATTTTTATATATATATAAGACATTCGCTTAATTATGTTTGATAATTTTACAATAAATTGTTATGTACAATAAATACATATATATTGCAACTAAAATGTATAGTTATATTATTTGAATATGATATATTTAAAGTTTGGCAGTTACATTTAATAGTGAAGTAATTTTTTAATAACTTAATTTATTACTCCTTTTGATATATATAGTTCCTGGATGTTCTCTGAAATTAATATTTCTGGTGCTTTTAAAATGTTTATTTTTCAGGTATGATAACTCGTCTTCATTTTTAAGGCTACTATTTAGTTAGATCTTGACACTTAATGTTTCTGGACAGTTCTGCTATTAGAACTACTGTAAAGCATAAATATGAAAGGCCAACTATCCATTTCATGAACTAACTTTGTTTACTTGATTCTTAATACAAATTACAACTATTTTATTCAGAATAGTCATTAATATTCCACAGTCTTTTAATGTGCAAAAAAAACAACAAAATATTGCCTTGTTTTTTTTACAAAATTGTGCTTGGACATCTACATGGAAAAAGTTATTAACAGATAAAACACCATTTAAGTTGGTGCTTGAAATATCTTATTTGTTTTTAGATTTTTTTATAACAATCCCTTGTGTCCATTGTGGGTTTGACAAATCCCTTAATAATCACATAGTTCTTAGTCAAATTAAGGACCTGAAAAAACAGAATTCTGACTTTTTTGGTATATGAATCTCGAAGCAAGATTGTAAAAATATAAACATCTTGTGCAGGGTTTGACAAGTTGCGAAACAAGTTAAAAAAAGGTTAAATATAATTTTCTGTTGTCAGTTTGTTTAATAATAGTGTTAAATCACAATTCAGTTGAACAAAATCTTGAGGATTACTTTCATGGATCATCTATAAAATGTGGCTAAATTAAAAGTATGAAGATATCATGCATTATGTTGTCATAGAAAAAAATGATACTTAATAGGTCTACAGGCTAGCCATTTCATCCAAGTCCAGTTTAGACTAAATCCAAATTATACAGGTTGCAAAATATTTGTTCAACTAGTGATGTGTAGATTATTACCATCACAAGAAGGTCTGATGATTCTACCCTGTTGTACATACCTGATCAACTGTAAAAAATTTACTGTCCTAAATTATTTGAAGTATAGGGTGTCATTTTAAAGTACTAATTTTATCTTTTGATAGTATTTTAATTTTATGTAATGTTTTTTGAAATAAATACTAAATTTTTTATTGTAACTGATGTTTTGTATTCATAATAATTTATCTTAGGATTGTTATTTCTTTTAACAGTATCGTGTTAAGTGTAAAAGAATGCTGCAGCGTAGATCTAAAACATAATCAACAAATATTTATTCTGCTCATAGAAGAAGAAAAGGTCAGGACCGAAATACATTTTACTGTACTGTTTGTGAGCGGGAGTACCATGGTAGTTTCCTTCAACACAGGAGGACCAGCAAGGAACATAGGGTGTGTCTAATTTACTTCAAACGAGTGTATATCTAGCAAACCATTGTTCATACTTAATAAGCTAGTATTTTCTTTTTTGGGCACTTGTAATTGACGTTTAATTTTCTAATTTCAAAAATTGAAACAAATTAAGTTTTTGTGAGATAAAATCAAGAAATGAAATGGTATTTTATGGATTTTATTTTCTTGGATAAAGTTTTATGTTGTGTCTTACAAACTCGTGCCTGTAAATATCTTAAATGTAGTCGTAGGCTTTAAAAGTAAGTTTGAGAATGTGTATTTCGTGACTGTGGGTTTTTGTTATAGTTTAATGCTTTTTTATGAAGATAAGAAAATGTGAATAATGTATTGAATTTGTACATAGAAAAATCGTGACAGGAAATATCCAAAGTGTAGACTGTGCAGAAAATCATTTAACAGTCCGTTGGAGCTCAAGCAACATCATAAGACTACTAATCACAAGGTAACGTTGTGTTTTAAACTTCAGTTTTTATAGCATTACTACCATTAAATTGTGCCTTTTGGTGTGGTAACATTGAATTGTTTTTAATTGCTAATGCATGTTTAAAGTAAACATTCTTTCTTAATGAATTTTGTGTTTTTAAGTGATGTAATCCATTTATTAAGATATTAAGACTTGTTGGTTACAAGTACAAGATATACAGTTCAACTTTATCAATACTAATTTTCTTCAAAATACAATGAACTGAGAGATATAAAATGGAATTTAAGTACAACATTTTAGAAAAATAACTCACTTTTTTATTGTTTGGATAAAAATTCACATAAACTTTGGGTTTAGTACAAGCTGTAGTGAGTTATATAATCAGTGGCCTGATCTGCAGTGATACAATTTGTAAGTTTTAAATAAGTCCTTCCTTAAAAATCTTGTCAGATAAATTTCCAGATATTCTTACTTAAAAACCAAGCATGTACTAAACTCTTGTACATACATTAAAATAATCCTAATTACATAAACTCTGAGTAGGTAGGAGCTTGGAGCGTGGGCTGCTGTCTATATATTAAATGTGCAATCCTAATTATAATAACCAAAATTTATTACATTGTGTTTACTATGATTAAAAGTGTTATTTGTCAGATATTTGTCCTGTTTTATAATTGATCCAAGTTTTTAGTACCTTAACATTCTCAATAGAGCTAGAAGTACTGACACATGAGGCACTCAACTAATAACAAAGGTCCAGTATAAATAGACTGTTAATAACCGTATGCTGTATCCCATTTAACCATCTTATAATTCAATTAACTTGTCTTTTGTGTAACACATTATCAGAAGCTTTTTGAAAATCTTAGTACATAAAATTTACACACTTTTCGTCATCCAAGTAAACATACAAGAACCTTGGATGAAAAAAAGTAACATGACAAAAATAAGATAGCAAGTTAACGAGGCAAGATTTTCCCCTATTGTGAATACATGTTAATCTTCTTTTTATACCATCATATTTCATTAAATGATTTTAAACTTATTTTTACCTTTGACCTCCTTGAAAACCCTTGGGGAAGTCTTGTCTGGTCCTGATGTCTTATTTCTAATCTCTGAATCTTTCTACTTATCACCAAGGAAATAATATTTTTGTGGTTCAGCTCAATTGTAATAATTCCTGTAGAATGCTTATGGCCAGGATTATTGCTAAAAATGTTCCCTTGTAAAAAACAGAAAAAAAGAAAACCTCATCTTTAATAAAAACCTTGCTGTCAACATCTTTTAAGAACCCAGTCTCCCATTTTAACATAATGTTCACCATTAACATTAAAAATCCTTCGTTGTTTTCATATTATGAGCAAAGTGTTTTTCATAAGCCTCAAGATTTCGTAATTTCTTTTGTTGACCAGTTCCCAAAATTTTTTATAGCTCTATGAATCTTTTTAACTGATCTGTTAATTTATACTTATGGCATTTGTTTTTTAATTCCCTATTTATGTTTCTAGCATTAAAGCCAATTATGTTTGATCCTTTTCCTCTTTTTAGGAGAAAATGTGTTATTTACCAAAGAAGTTAATGTTAGATAATGATAAAGCAAACATTTTACAATTAAAGTAACACAGTTTTGTCTGGCAGAACCTTACCAAGCGGCCAGGGGAAAAGAATGCCACTAAATCAGATGATGACACGGATTATGTGACATTAGATGCAACTGGAATATTTGAAGATGAGAACAAAAAGGTTTGTAAAATCAATTGGTACTTAGATTGTAAAATTTTTAAAGGAAAAGATAGTCCTGGTGTATCTTTCTGTGACATCTCAAAGTTAAGTATGATTACTGTAAAAAAAAATGCCTTAATTTAATTTTATAGATTAAACTTTTTTGTTTCTTTCTGAATGGAGTGCTACGTGGTCGTCATACTCGTTAACCTAGTAGTATTTTGATTGGCCATCACAATGTTTAATATTAGGGTAGAGTAGAAAAAAAGAAAAAGAGGAGGTTTATTTGATGAAGATACACATTTCAAGTATCACATTTTGCAAATCTAAATAGATCCTTATACAACAAAATGTTTTTATAGAATGCCATCCAGTCTAATAGATATGATTTGTATATAATGATTTGCTAGAGCAAAGGCAAAGCAGGCATATTCTGCTTCTTAATGCATACTGATCCAGTTTCGTATCTTAAAATGTGCTAACCATTTCCAGATGTAACAAATTTCAAAAACTGTAAAGTAAGTTCTTCTAATCTTAGGTGTGAAACCAACATAATTCAACTTGATGTTGCCAAAACTTGTCAAAATGTTGTACATTTGCTGTTTTGTTAAACTTATATTAAAGTTTTTTCTTCATTACCCATTCAAGCCGTCTCCGAGCATTATTAGTCTCAAAGTGTGTTCCTCGTCATTGAATTCAAAAATAATTCAACATGCTAATGCAGCTTTCTTTCCTGAGTATTTTAGTGCTTTGGTTTTTGTACCTAATTGTTCATTACTCGCTAAAGTTGATTTATGAATGGAGTGTAAATATGCCTAAACCATTTACCTTATTTCTAGTAACAATTTACATATCGGTTGTTGTGTGATTGATTTTTTTTTTCACCTGTTTGATGGGTTTTTTTATTACATATGAACTACTGTGTTTTGTGTGTGTACCAAAGAGAGGATCTTGCAACCAGTCTTTGTGTTATAACAAAGTTAATTGTAATATTGTTCCAAGATAAATGTGCTTTTATGTCAAAGTTGAATATTTGGTATGCTATGAAAAAGGTGAAAACGTTTCTAAGAATGAAGATGTATGCAATATTTGTAACCAGTGAAACAAGATGTAGCACTGATGACTTAACTTATTTCTTAAACTTGAGTATTTTTAAGTGTTAAAATGAATAATATATAATTTTAAAGACATACTAAATCTTTGGCACCAACGAACACTTAAAAACTATGTACATTTAGCAACAGCAGCTAAAGATTAGTAATTTTGTGAGCTGTTTAGCTCAGTCAACAAGGTATATGATATGTATGCCAAGTTTTAGCTATTAAGCTTATTTGTTGGATAAGTGTACACAATTTATCGAAGAAAAACCTAACTACTAATGTTAAGCTTAAACCATGCATCTAGCAATAATGAAAACATATTAGTGTTTTGATATATACTTTGTGGGAATTTTTAGGACTTTTTTTTCTGTTTTGATCATGTATGTTTTCTTCTTATTCTAGGCACTATTATAAAAGATACATAGGTATATCACATTCTTCACGATGCCCTGGCTTTTGTAGAAAAGAAAAATTAAGAAAATCCATTTTTTGTTTCTAGTTTTGCCTTTTACTGAATATTTTTGCTTGTTGTTTAATTTGGAAGTATAGTTTGTTACAGAATTGAGAAAAATGGACAGTTGTATGTTTCACAAACAGAAATGGGCAATTGTCTTTCTTTTCCTCAATTCTGTCATTATGGAGTTTTGTCAAGTACCAACAGTTTCAAATATCAATCTCCATTTGTCATATGACATATTTTGTGCTGAACTGTAAATTATAACCTATTTTATTCAAAACTTGTGTACAAAAATGAGAAAATGCAGCTGTAATAGAATTGTGTATAATTTTAATTACATGCAAGTCATCAGATTTTGGAGGGGTTAACTAGTTTGGTTGGGACATTTGTCGTGATTATATTTATAGATGTGTAGACGTTGTTTGTTATTGCACAAGGTGTTCCATTTCTTTTATAGTATACTCAACTTTTAGGTGAAAATTTTCAAATATGTTAGACGTTATTTCATAATTATTATTAGAAATTTCAGTTACAGTAATGCTTTTATAATAGTAATTCTTCTGAAAAACTAGAGTATTAGTTATTCTACGTAATATAAGTTAAGTGTATCTTATCCATTTAGTTCTACAGATTCTACATGGTAGAGTGCAAAGGTATTGTGTGTGTGTGTGTGTGTGTGTGTGTAAGAAAATTGTATTGTTCTTTAAATTAACTACATGTTTTAGTCATGGGTTTGTTTTATGTTAAGAGAGTTTACAATTCCGTAGACAGACCCTTCAATGTAGTAATAATAATAAGACATGGCAGATTGATCTGACTTCCAGAACATTATACAAGCTGATAAACATAGTAAAATTTGGAGAAGTGCTAAATAGTGAATTTGACATTTGAAATTTTATTCTTCATACTTGGATAAATGATAAGTTAAAACATGTTTTCTAAGTGTGTGTGTGTATTTTAAAAGTGGTATTCTCATTGCTAGAATATAGTAATGAATATGATCATAATAAGGCATTTATTATTCCAGGAGGTAACCCAATGTAACCAGGATACTGACAGTGAGAGAGAAGAGAATGTTGATGAGGTAATAACTGTTGTGTGTGTGTGTGTGTGTGTGAGAGCACACTTTGTAGAAACTCACACAGTTAAATAATTCATTCGTCATTTTGCTTTATATTAGCTTTCTACTATAATCATTAAACATTTATGTAAGTTCATGTTTATAGAACAAATTATTGTGTAACAATTAATTTTGGAATCTACTCATTACAAACATTGTACATGTTATTAAGAGCTGTTAGTCACTTGTGTATAAATATGTAATGATATTAATGTGTTGCTGTATCTCTCAATATAGGTTATTTTAAACGTGAATTTCAGCATTTTTAAATTTTTTAGCTTGTGAAATGTCCAAAGTCTTGAGACACTTTTTTGGAAGGAAAAAACCATTAAAAATATTTCATTTTATCTTGATGTTAAAACCTATTTTGTTAATCACAAAACTCCATTTGATACATCCAGTCACATGTTGCTGATATGGACTTGGTAGTTTTGACTGACATGGTTACCACTGTAATCATGAAACTATAACTGAATGTACAAATTTTATCTTCATGAAATGTAGTGAACTTTTAATAAATATTACAAGTTTGTTGTACACAAAAACAGGTTTTTAATAAATTGTTTTTTCTGTGAACTTATGAAGTCTACCGAGTTAAAGGTGATTTTCGTGCTAAGATTGAAAACACTTCATTATAGTTTAGTATTTTTATTTGCATAACCTCTAGAACCTCTTTGTTTTCAGTAATCCTATATACTTTATTTTCTTTGCACTAACATTACATGTAGTGAAATTAGCTGTAGTAAAAAACTGATAAATCTAGAATAACTACAGTTTGTTACAGACAGTTACTTACCTTAAGAGGGTTAGGCCTCTTTTCGAAACTGCTTTTATCTAATTTTATTATATCATTGTTCTTTAAACCATGTCTAACTCCCCTGACAAGCAATAAATCATCTTGGGGAATAGCAGAATAAACAAACAGATCAGATTATTTTTCATTTAAGTTTTGGTACCTAAGCTAAAATAAGTTTAATTTTTACATATTAATTACTTTTGTTGAAAAATATATACAGGAAAAAACTAAGTTTAGAACTTACAACTTAGCTGTAGGCCAGTTTCCACTCAAATGCCTGCTTTTGTAGCCCTATTTTTGCTATTATGTTTATTATCCAAAAAATAATTTGTATAGCTTTAGAACAAACATATCAATTACTAGATTAGGTTGTGTGAAAACTACTTTAACTACTTGGTTTTCTAAGCTATTATTAAGTTTTAAAAAGTTCATTATATTTGAGATCAACATTTTTGGTCCAAACCCGTCAAGCTCTTGACTTTTATGGCTCAAAAAAATAAGACTGGCAATCAAATGGTTTATGTAGTATACAATTTGCTCTTTCTATTGAATATAAACACGTGGCTTATAGCAATGTCAGGGAGAATTATAGCCATTTCTTGAAGAACAGGGTGTAGGAGGGGGTGTACTAATGTAGGTTGAACAAATATAGTGATGTCTCAGTAAAGCTTGTCAGTGTATTAATTGAACAATCTGAAGCATTTACAAGGGAGGAGAGTCAATCGATGAGAAATCATAGTGCCACAAAATCGTGACTCACGGCGTTGAAGATTGAGAATTTATTTAAGTACCTGAGGATGACAAAACGTTGTACATTTGCTGTTATGTTAAACTTATATTGAAGTTTTTCTTCATTACCCATTCAAGCCGTCTCCAAGCATTATTAGTCTCAAAGTGGGTTTTTTGTCATCGAATTTAAGTATTTTCTTTTAAAGTTAATAAATTAAAACTTGGGTAATGTGAACATTTGAATTATAAACTACGTTTTAATGCCAGGGTTAATGGCCAGCATTGCTAATAAGTTCTTTAATGAAATTTGGAATGTAATTTTGTAAAAGGTCCCGACATGCAAATTTGACCCCCCTCCTCCGTATCCATAGGGTTCACACATTTGTTTTAATACTATTTTTTGACTGCAGTAATCATCACTTTCAGCTATAAATCATAAAGTACACACTGTAAAAAAAAACTGAAAGATTTATATATGACTTTTCAAAATGGCCTCACCATTACATCTGTTAAGCTGGGTATCATGACTTTTACTAACAATATTTTGTAAAAATCAATTTATATCTGATAAATATAATTATTATTTTTATAAGCGTAACTATTTATTATATAGTACTTGAAAATGATGAACTTAAGTCATCAAATTGTTTTATCATCAGTTACCGTACTCTAAAACTGAGCTTATCTGATATCTTGTCATGGAAGAAGATTTCTGTAGCTCTCACGTATCCTGAAGATTTGTTATGGGTTAGTTTTTAATATTTAACACTTAAGCAGTTCAACTTGCTTCAGAGATTTAAATAAGACCTTCGTGGAAAGATGGACGAAATCTTCTCAAGTATGTTTCTGTCAACAAGTATATTCGTGCATAGGTATTAAAAATTGCTTATAAGAAAAAGTACCGAGAATACAGAATGTACCGTACTTCTAGGAAGTGCTTATTCTCTGTGGATATTTTTCACATTTCGTCTTTATGGATACACGTGAGCATTGATTTAGAATGTTCTTAAAAAAGTTTTATTTGTATTATGAAAAATAAATAAAAGGATTAAAGAATGATAGGTCTTGTTATTTTGTAACTGAAATCAGTAATTAATACCTCATATTGATTAGTATTTGGCTATGAGTGAACAAGAAAATATTCATGGTACTATTTCTATTTAACTTGTATTTCAGCTTATATTTACAGTTATGGTCTACAAGCAGTTATTAGTTTCAGTTTTTACTTTTAAATTAGATATTGGACCAATAAATAATCTAGGAAGAAGCTAATATTGCTTGAAATTTGATACGTAGATAAAATGCAAGTTTTCCCAATTTTCAATTACAAAAAATTGGGCATTTTGTTTCATGTTGCTTTTGTAATACAATGAATAGAAATTTTGTTGAAAATTATATTCTTCGGTCTTCATATTACCTTTTCTTTTCTCTTCCAAAAAAGCTCAAAGATGAAGATGATGATGATGATGATAAGCCAGTAGGTGAGTGTTGTTATTATGAATGTGTTAGAAACAAGAAGTCATTCACTAAATTAAATTATGGTTTCTTGGTAGTCTTTTTATGTTAGAAACAAGAAGTCATTCACTAAATTAAGTTATGGGTTCTTGGTAGTCTTGTGTTTCATTAGCAAAAATAGAAAGATGAATTTCAAGTTTATGGTGCTTTTGTTAATTTCTGTCTATCTTCTATAAAGTACTTTTTTGGGGATGGAAGATGTACTTTCCATTCATTTGTAGTTCTAAGAAAAAAAAAGTATTATCGTCTCACCAAAGAAGGTTTTATTAGCTATAAACATAACAGACGACTGTGCTCATATAATTAATGTTTCAATATATTATTAACGATACTTCTGTTATTTGTACAAGTATACCGATTGGATGTACAAAGCAAAAAACAACTTGTATTTAATCTGGTACTAGCTATAAGTTTGAAGATTCTATGTTAGAAGATAAGGTAAAGCCATTGATATATCCCACCTCTAGTGCTAACAGCTGATTGACACCAGTTCGAATTTAGCAACACGGGCAGGAAAAAGGTTGGCATAATGCAGAAAAACAATGGATCAAAAAAAAAATAACATTTTGAAATCTGGGACATAATCTATCGTTATAGCCAATAGTGATAAGACAAAATTTGTTTGTTATTATAGCCCAAGTAGAAATAGCAAGAATTTAAAGGTAAACCATTGCTGTATTTTTATTTAAACAGATAAACAATCACAGATGCCAGTTTATGGAAATATTTTATAGTTGAATTATTATTACTTTTTAGACCATGAAACATGAACAGTGTTTTAGGAGTTTGCTGTCGAGTTTCGGAAAATGCCTTCTGTAATACATGTAATTTAAAATTGGCTTTTTTTTTCCTGTATATTACATTGCCACTAGACTTGCAATGATTGAACAGTGTTTGATTAACTAATGTTGGACTGGAAATTGTTAATTTTGATGACAAGAAAACATTATTTTGGATATTTCCATCATTGAAAGTACATGTTTTTGTGCTATTTAACTTAAGTTTTGTTTCTCATTCTTTGTTTTATTCTTCAGGACAAGTCTATGTTGTGAAAGTAGAAGGATTCTTCTGTAAGATTTGCCACAAGTTTTTTAAAGACTCTCACTCTGCTACTATCACCCACTGTAAAAGTGAAGAACATCGCAAAAACAATGCAGTAAGTATCAATAATATATTTCAATTTACTGTATTCGTATTCATGTTTGAATATAACTATTAACTTTGAGAAATTTGTCAGTCAAGAATAAAAGATTTATAAGTAACAGTCTAGGTGAATAATTGAGACCAAAATGGTTGTTCAAGAAGTTTTTACAGTTAGCATTAGGTTTTTATTAGAATAATAATCTTCATAATTAAGAGCAAATCCTCATTAACTGTGGCACTATTAGCTGTGTTTTTTGTGCACCAGTAATACCTAGTGTGGGGTGTGCATATACCAGTTTCGATTTTATTACTCATCAGGATCTCTACCAGCCTACCCTCACAGTGAAATTATTTTAGGCAGGATTAGGGTAAATTACCTTATGAGACCTTGGGCATGGTCAGACACATCAATTGAAAGGGATTGACCTCCTGAGTCCAAAACTGTATGATGAGTGAGCTACGAGCTAAAAGTTTATACTTGAAAAAAACTCTGAGCCATTCCATGAGCTGCTATACCGAGGCTAAAATGTTTGATTGATAGGTGGTTGGTGTTTCAGGAGTATTATAAGGAACCGTGCACATTACATGCTTAGTTGTGTTTATTGCACCTTTATTATAAATTAGTTTCTGGAAAAAAACAACAAATTGTGAATGTTAGTGATTCCGGAGTAAAAAAAAACTTTTTATTTTAGTATGATCCCCATGTATTTTAGATTACTCAGCTTTTCCGTGGTATGAACGGTGTAAATTAATAGCTTATTCCATTTTGAACTATTTTGTTTATTTGCACGTTCTTGAATGTATAGCAGTTTTTAATCATTAGATATTCGCTTAATACCTTGTTTAATACACTTTGTAATTACGTAGTTATTTGTTGAAAATAGTGAAGTTAAGTATTTAGTTACTGAAGGAAGAGTAACGTGTAGTGTTAGCTTTGTTCAACACACTCAAAATCTGTTACCAGGTTTTAGCATTGTGCTTACTTATAGTAAAACGTGTTTCTTCCACTACTGACAGTTTTATACACTTTATATAGTTGTAAAGTTATGGTAAATTATTAACTTTGAACAATTATTTAGTTACTGAAGGAAGGGTAACGTGTAGTGTTAGCTTTGTTCAACACTCAAAATCTGTTACCAGGTTTTAGCATTGTGCTTGCTTATAGTAAAACGTGTTTCTTCCACTACTGACAGTTTTATACACTTTATATAGTTGTAAAGTTATGGTAAATTATTAACTTTGAACAATTAATGGTTTCTTGATAATTGTCATTCCCCAAGCCCCAAAACTGTTGTGTTAAAACTAGATTATTGCGTTATGGACTTGTAAATAATTACTTTTGTTTGTTCTAACAGAAAATTCAAGAAATGATTAAAAAACGGAAAGCTTTAGAAGCTCAGAGAAAGGTTGTAGAAGAAGCTAGAGTGCAAGATGGAGAGGAAGCTAAAAAAACAGCTGATGATATCAGTAAAGAAGAAGAAACTCAAGAACAACAGATATCAACTACAGATGAACAGGGAGCCGATGTGGAAGATGAAAAGGTAGACAATAAACAGGAAACTGACATGGAAAGAAATGAAGAAGCTGAAAATGATCACGAAATGACAGAAGAACAAGGCACTGTTGCTGGGAGTGAGGAAGAAAAGAGTATTGATAAACCCAAGAAGGATAAAGAGGAGAGTGAGAAGGATGAACGTTTTTCAAAAGATGAGTTTCGGGAGAAAACTGAACAATGTAAAATAACAGTCTCCTTCAAAGATGAAAAGCAGGGTGAATGTGATGAAGAAAAGGAAAAATTAGTATCTTCAGAACTGGATGATATCCTGGGACCAGTGGACAATCTTCAATCATCCTCCCAAGAGAATGAAGATGACGAACTTGTATCTTCCCTGGTGTCAGAAAATCGAGAACAGGAGAACTCTGAGTTGTTTGCTTCACTTTCTTCACAGATAGTTAGCAAGGAATTAGAAACCAAACTGAACTTACAGGAGGTCGTGGAAGATGAGGGAGAAGAAGAAGATGGAGATGATGCTGACACAAGTAAAGAGATCAATTTACCATCAGCTGCTACCAGAAGTCAAGGAAAGGCACGAGGACGAGGTAGGGGCCGGGGAAGAGGAAAAAGGAATTCTTGAAGATATTTTAGTGTTTTTTTTGGTCATACATAATTGATTTTATTCACATCAAGTATTCGTATATATATATATATATATATATATATATAACAGACACGTCTTTATAGTAC